TTCATGGCATGTGGCCTGCAAGCGTGCAGGGTTTGGGCTTTGGGGGTTTGTGGTTTATGGGATATATGGTTTATAAGCACTGTGTGGGACAAGCACTGTGTGCTGGGTTTGGGGTTTAAGGTTTCTTCATGGTTTAGGGTTTATAAGTCTGGACAAGCGGACCTTAGAATGGATTCTGGAAAACTATATATGTATGGTGCTGGTGCCTTAGACTGGACCGTAGGCTGGGTCGTAGCCTTGGCGCCTGAGGCGGCTGGCGTGTTGCAGGGTTTGCTGGTGCAGCGTGGGGCTCTGGTTCCGCAGGTCCGTGGCAAAGGCATGGAGCTCATCGTACTGGTGGTTCTGGAGCAATGCCAGTGCGTGGATCAGCTTGTTCATGTAGCCCTGCTGCACGCGTGGGCGCCATGATGGTCTTGGTGCTGGCCCATGGGGGTGTGCACATGGCCCCTGCTGGGGGTCATCGTCATCTGGCCTTGGAGCAGCTGGTGGCCTCGCAGATGTGCCTGGCTTTGGAGCTGCAGCTGGTGGCCTGGCGGGTGGCCTGGGGCACAAGCGTTGTTGCATCAGCCTGGGTCTTGGTGCTGGCTGTGCAGAAGTGGCCTGGCTGGCTGGAGCTGCCTGCATGGGTGCTGGCGTGGTTGTTGCTGGCTGCACTGGTGTGGCTGCTGGCACTGCTGCTGGCATCGTGGGTGCTGGTGCTGGTCCTCCAGGTGGCGCCCATGCATGGAGTGCTGGCGACTGCAGTGGTGCTGGTGGGAATGCCCATGGCAGTGGCCCTGCTGGTGCAGGGAGTGGGCCAAAGAAGGGTGGCCTTCCTGCCGGAAAAGTGGGCAGTGGCACTTGGCCACAAAAAGGGGGCCATGTGGCCGCTGGCTGCGGAGGTGGTGCCAGCACTTGGGGTGCGTGCCATGGAGCCTGCTGCAGTCGCTCTGGAGTCATTTGTGGAGCACATTGTGGAGCCTGCTCTGGCTCTGGTGGCTGGTGCTTGGGTGGCGGCTGCTGTGGCGGCTGCTGTGGCGGCTGCTGTGGCGGCTGCTGTGGAGGCTGCTGTGGCGGCTGCTGTGTGGGGCCGGTACTGGAAGAGGCTGTGGAGCCCGCATTGGAGTCTGTGCAGTCTCTGGTCTTCGTGGGTCTCGAGGGCCAGGAGCAGAGCGGCACTTGGATGCAGCGCCTCTGGCGGGCGTGGCTGGTTCCGCTGAACTTTCTGGCAGATCTGGCTCCACCTGAACGACGTGGCGTTGGAACATGCATGCATAATGGAATTCCTGCCTGCTCTGGGTCGTACTCGCTGCTTGGGGACGTGGTGGTCTGCAGCATGCATGTGACGTTGTGCTGAAGGAAAGCATACTGCACATGTGTCTCTACATCCTGCCTCATTGGCGGCCGACATGGCCTCGTTGGCTCCCACTTGGCGGTCTTGGGCCGCTGGAAGCTGCAGCGCTGCCGCCGTGGAAGCGAAAGCATCATGCATGCTGGCGTTACAATTGCGCTTAGAACAGCACGCGACGGATATGGGTGAGCACTGAGTGCTGGGTTTGCATGGCTAAGTGTGGAAGCACTGAGTGCTGGGTTTGGGGAAGGGCAGCACTGAGTGCTGGATTTTATATATATATGTATAGGACCTATACAAGCACTGAGTGCTAAGTTTCTTCGCATGTGGAAGCACTATATGCTGAAAGAAGCAAAAACTTCCGAGCTTTGTTTGCTGCCGCCTGCAGAACTCCTCCGCGGTCTGTGAGACAACTAGTCGCTGCCACCATTGCTGCTGCTTGGGGACCGACTGGCCTTCCTCTTCCTCGGTTGCTTCTGGACCCTGAGCTTAGCCAAATCTGGTTCCAAGAAGTGGAAGACTGCTTCCAACTGGTGTGCGTCCAGCTGGACCTGAATGTCACGTGTGGCGGCTTTCTTGCCGCCGCACAACATGGACACAGTGGTGTCGCCCACTGGGACCTGGACAACCGTCACCTCATAGGATTTTGGCTTCTGGGCCTTTTGCTTCTTGGAGGACTCTGGCTGGTTCTCCTGCTGGTTGAGGCCAAGTGGGTCTGCTGGTTCTGGGCCATGGAGTTTCTGGTACTCCTGGTTCCGCTTGGCTCTGAGGTCCTGGTACAGCTTGGAATGGCTTAAGGTGGCATTCCTGGCATGTGGGCCAACGAGCAGAAGGAGGATTGTTCGCTTGCTGGGCCGCAGCTGAACGTACTGGACATTGTCGTGGGTGGTGAGCATGTCCTCTGGGAGGTTGACGATGCTGCCAGCTGGCTTGTACGTCAGCTGGAGGCTGGTCTTCATGGACACGTCACACATGGCGAGTGGTGCAGCTAGAGGTGCAGCTACTGGAAGTTCCAAGCTATGGTTGGCATGGGCCAAAGCTTGGCATGCGGCAATACTTGGAAAAGTATGCACGCTTGCTAGCGGATGTTCAAGTGCATGAATGCATATGCAAGAAAGCTCTATATTTTTTCTGCTCAGGGCGCTTCTGGTTCTGCCTCGCTGGCAGCTACTACTTTCGTGGCTTCTTGGCTGGCTTTGTCGTCTTCTCCGTGGCCTTGGCCTCCTTCTTCGCGGCCTTCTTGGTCTCCTTGGCCGCATTGGCCTTGTCAGGCGTGTTCTCTTCTGGCTTGAGCACCAGCAGCTGGTCCCCAGCCTGGAGCTTGCGCTTGTTGCGATAGCATGGGATGGTGTGCTTCTCCACGTTGATGGTGGCGGCCTCCATGTTCACCAAGTCTGACTCCGTGGTCTGGCCGACATGGAAGAAAGGCACAGCCAAGCCCTGCACTTTCTCGAGGTCTAGCTTGGGTGCCGACACTTGGAACTGGGTGCCGTTCGGGCCTGACACGACACAGCTGGTCCTGCTGACAGTCTGCTTGGCCAGATCCTTCAGGGTGGACATGGTGCCGTATGGCACCAGCGTCAACTTCTGGTGCTGGCTGTTGGCAAACAGGCCAGCGCCCTTGGTTGCCCAAACCAAGCTCGATGCATCTGGCATGTGCCTTGCACAAAGGTCACAAAAGGGAATTCACAAGACACATGTCGCAAAAAACTTAACATAATATATATAAATACATATATGTATATATATATATATGAAAACGTTACATGCACCATATAGATGACTGTGCAAAAACCATGCATGTGGTTTCCAGCTGGAGCACTTGCTATAGGTCTGGAAGAGCAGGAGGCTGGCCTTGGCTTTGGCCTGCTCCATCTCCACGATCTGGCTGTTCTGTGGCAGCAATGGCTCCATGTCGTCTGTGGCGACCAGCTGGGGTGGATCGCCTGGGGTCAGCTTGAAGTTCTTCAACTCCTCGTGTGGCACTGTGAGAACCTCTGGCTCCTCGCCGGAACTGAACAAAGGCTGGTGGTGGAAGTGGGCCTTCTCATGGTCCAGCTCGACGAACTTCCACAGCTTGGCTTCGCCTTTCTGCTTGTAGTACTGGCCGATTTGCATGGCTGTTCGCTTGAGGCAGATCTTGGCCGCATCCATGGTGTCCTGCTGCCATTAAATGCATGTGTATTTAAAACCCACTATGGCACCCCCTGCAGTCCCTCATGAAAGCTTACCAAACTGAACACAGACTGCAGTCCTCCAGCTGCATTGGCAAAACTGCTTCTTCAGCTTCTTTGGGTGCTGCACTGGAGCTGCTGGCGGAACCCGCGTGCAACTTTTGCATCTCCGTGCCGAAGGCTTGGGCAATCTCTGCAAGACTGTCATAGTGGTGCGTCTCATGGCCCTTGCCCTGCCTCTTCGTCAGGTACAAAATGGTCCTGATCATGGCCCGCGCTTGGCAGGACAGCCCCAAGTTGGTTTCATGGTCACCTTGGGCCTTCAGCAGCTCAAAGTTCACCTGCAGCTGCTTCTCCGCTTGGAGCACCTCAGAGCGGTGGCTCGGATGGCGGAGCTTCTCCACGTCCGACTTGGAGATGGACCGCCCAATGTTGTCCTTGGAGTGGGGAGAGGCCAAGTTGGCGGCGAAGCTGGCCGCTCGAAGCCACGGGAACATGGAGGATGGCTCCTTGAAATCCAGCTGGCTTACACACTCTGTGAACTCCTGGCCGAGGCTGAGGGACGTCTGGAAGGATCGACCTGCAAAAGTTAATCCTAAACCCATCATGCACCTATACCGTATCTAGAAAACACATGTTTACCAAAAACAACAAAGTTATGCAAAAACAAGTGGCTCACATGGGCCAAGATCTTCACGATTGGAAAGCTTGGCCCCCCAGAATAGTTCTGGACAAAGTTGCTCACCGAGCTCATGTATGGCAGACATGGTGGTCGCGTGGTCATGGCCAGCTGCACCGCTTGGGGCAAGGATTTCGTGGCCTCGAAGTGGGAAGCGATGTGGAACATCGCTTCGACCTCATTCCCGGAGCTTTGGGTGATGTGGGAGGAATTCAAAGCTTGCTGGATGAGCAATGGGAGGTCTGGGAAAATTACCTCGACCTCGGCGGCCAGGCAATCCCATTTCCATCCCTGCGAAATCATCCGGGAAAACACGGAATCTGGACCATGGCCCTGGGTGCAAGCATCGAGGCTCAGCACCCCTTGGCAAAGCTTGGACAGCTCTGAGTGGCTGGTCTTGGCGTTGTTCTCGACGGCCTTGCAAAACTGGGTCAAGTGGGAGCTGCCCAGGCTCAGGTACCTTTCCTGCCCTGTGGGTTTGGCTAGCTGGCCTCCGCTGGCCTCGCAGAGCTCCACATTGGCCTTGATCTGGGCCTGGCGCTTGTCTGCATCGGTGGCCAACTCGATGCACACCGACTGGGTGATCTTGGCGAAGTCTGGGCCTGTGGCAAGGATGGCGTGGCCCTTGTGGTGGCAGTCATGCCATGAAAGCATGGCGCCACCGCGATTGGCTGGGTGCACCAGCATGGAGCTGGGAATCACCTGCAGCTGGTACAAGAGCCCTGCTTGCATCAAGTGGTTGCGGATCTGCAACCATTTCGTATTTATGGGGATCTGGACATCCTTCTTTATCTGGGTGATGGCCTGCCGCACCTCCGTGGTCATGGGCATGGTGAGCCCTGGCACAAAAAGATCCCTGTGGATCTTGGCTGCTGCAGCGTGGGCAGTGGTCACGGATGGCCCTCCTTGGGCCTAGCGCCTGCGTGTTTCCGGCAATGGATCATATATACTGGCATACATACATTGCCAATCTGCGTGGCCAATCAAAGCACCGAGTGCTGGTACATGCAAAGCCGAAAGCACCGAGTGCTGCTATACAAGCGAGCTGCATGCAGGGAGGAAAGCACCGAGTGCGGCTGCAAACATATGCAGGGATCTGTGGAGTTTGTACAATGAAGCACATGCTGCCTGGAAATATTGTCATTTTCGGCAAGCACCCTGTTTAGAAAAAGTGGTGAGCGGTTCACAAAAACATTTCCATAAGATAAGTAAAACTATCTTTTGTCTAAGAACAGCTAATCAAGCTAAGGTTGATAACTTTTTAAGATGGTTAGCACACTTAGCATAAAAGTTATCTAACATGTGCAACATAGCTAAATATATACATACACTTAACAAGGTTTTATCATATCCTTAACAATATGTTAACATGGTGTTATGAACTCTCTTCCTAAATCATATACCCATGCTAAGTCGTTACTACAGACACAACGGTCCCAAGTATGGATCCTGTCCCCATGCGGCGTAATGTAGAATGGCCCTGTGTAAGCTGCCAACCTGTTCGCCGGAATCATCGGAGGACCAGGATCGGTCTGTGTCCCTCGCGTCTCATAGCCGCTCGTCCTCACCGGGTTAAACGATTGTCTTGAAGAACTCGTCGTAGCTGTCCTTGTCCTCTGCGGTGTGCTCGGCATCGCTGTTCCCGTAGTTGGCGGTGTGCTCGGCATCGCTGTCCTCGTCCTTGGCGGTGTGTTCGACATCGCTGTTCTCGCCCTTGGTACCGGATCCTCATAACGATCAAACTCCTCCTGAACTGCTATCTGGGCACGTTCTCGTAGTCGCTCCAGCCGTTTCTGCTTGCGTTGAGATGCACTCCACCATTTGGTAGCCGTTCCCCACATTCCTTTGATGCATTCCCATACGGCAACGCCCGCAATCAAGCTGATCAGCGCCACGCCGTAGAACTCGAACGAACCATCCAAAGGTAGGTCTTCTTTAGTGCCTCCCACACCCTTTACTAGAAGCAAACACATCAGGATGAACATGAGCACGCCCTTGCCATTGGCAACCTTTAGCGACTTCACCGCCACATTTGCAACGCCACCAGCAGTGCATGGAATGATGCGCCATAGTTCCATGAGCATCTTGAACTTCGGCAGGTCAAACCCCTTGGTGCCCAGGTCGGCTTTCTGCTCACTTCCACACACATGTGAAATCACCAAACGCTGAGCCGAGACTTCTTGCCGGAGGTATCTGGCTCTCACCCTAAGATGACGTGTTTTCCAGCTCCCCGGAGCCTCACTCGCCAAACCCTGAGCCGCCGCATTGTCGATGCGCAAATGCATGACCCCGCACTCCTCAAGTTCAGACAGCATAGCGCCCACACCTAAACCCAACTGAACCGCTGAGATGCCCTCGTATAGCTCCGCTTCTGCCACTGAGAGAGTAATCACCGGCTGCTTGGCAGATCGCCAGGCCACCGGCATTCCAGCAACCTGAGCCATCGTACTGCCAAAGCTTCGACCTCCTCCTGGCGCATAGCTCGCATCCGAGTACACAACTAACAACGGATCCTCCTTGACCATCTGGTACCATATGCCGTAGTCCACTGTTCTAGCCAGGTACTTCAGGATACGCTTGCTGATCTCAAGTGACTTGAGCGGACGTCGTAGTGCATATGACGCCATGCACGCCACAGCGTGCGTGAGCTCCGGTCTCGACCGTGTCGACAACCATAAAGCCTCCCCGGTCGCCTTCTGAGCCATCTTCACCACCGCTTCCTCGGGAACTGGGGCTTCTTCATCTGAATCATCTTGCAGCCACTCTCGCTGACACGGCACTGTCAGCCCAGCCTCCGGCTGTTCTGGTACTCCATGTTGACGTAGAAGATCACGCACATAACCTGCTTGCGATAGGTGAACTCCTTCTCCACAGACTCTAAGCTCGATGCCCAAAAACCGTATGTACCCTTCATCAATCCATTCCAACGCTGAACACTTCCAGTCTTGAATTAACCACTGGTACACGGTCGAAACAAGAGCCTTGGTCGACAATATCAAGATATCATCGACATACACCAGCATTAAGCCCAAGGGAGTTTGGGATTCGTCACCTTCTACGCATAGCTTCCACATGTTCTCGTCGGTAGTAAGGCTGCGCAACACGATGATCTCCCCCTCATACTCAATACGAGCCGTGGCAAGCCTTTCATTTCTGAAGCACCCCCATAATCGCGGAGCTTCTCTGAGGCCGTACAAAACTCGTTCTATGAGCCATGTTTCACCAGGAACAGCACCTCCTGCTAGCAGCACTATTGTAGGAGGCGAAACTGCATACAATCTATCCGTCGGCATAGGGGCCAGCGTAAAAGCATTGGACACGTCTGTGCACCCAGCAGTCCACGACCTCCTCACCGCGTAGGCCACCGCAATGCGTAGCGAATCCGAACTTGTTCCAGAGGCGTAGACATTGAGGTCGCGATCCGGCAAGAAGTTGCCACAAACCACTATCCGGCATTTTCTCCGGAACCGCTCGCCTCCCTTCGCCCCTTCGGTTGGCGGTTTCGCCGTAAATACGGCTTTGCCAGGAAGCACGATGAGGCCATCCTTCTTCAACTCCTTTGTTTGCTCTGGAGTAAGCCTTCTCACCGTTCCCGAATCAATCAGCGCCGCCACTTCCTTGAGGATTGCCGGCTTCCACCTGTCCAGGTACTTCTTGATCTCCGGTAAGCTTATGTTGTGAACCACCTCCAAAGGCACCACCAAAGCATCCAACAGTCGTTCGACCTCAACGTCCTTTGCTTCCCCCGGAGACACTTTCATGATCCCTCGCCTGGCCCTGCTTTCGAACCAATGAAGTTCACGCTCACACTCCCAAAGATTGTGTTCCAACCTCTGCTGAAAACCCTCCTCCCTTGCAACATCTCCTGGACAATCTTGTTCTTCTTGAAGTGCACACCGAAGCACCCTGGCCTTTTGCTCCAACTCGTCTTCATCTAGTCCATCATCATCATCATCAGACAACTCTGACGTTGAAGTAAAGCCTTCCACACAATGTTCTTGCACAGTATGCACCTCCAACCCCGTTCTGTCCAAAGGAAACTTGCACCTGTTCAGGAAGGACAGCGACTCCGGCTGCAGCATTTCCACACCAAGTGGCGTGAAGCCTGCAATGATCCACCTCTCGCTTCCCTCGGCGTCGACATAGGAGTGCGTCTTCTTTGGGTCAAACACAGCCACCCGCTCAGTGATATCCATGATCATTCCCTCCTTCACTGAACCATCTGGAAACTCCCGCCGAAGAGGAACACCATGAAACCCCTCTGGAACCTCACCTTGATCGTCTGTAGACAACCACAAGCCACCGATCTCCTTGTCACTCACTTCCATCACGAAGTTCTCTGATCCTGGTTGGTTTCGAAGATCCCGGTGTGGGGGAATGTCCTTGGCCTTGAACACACCCAATGTTGTCCATGCCGGCTCCCTTCCTGTGGTCTCCACTGTTCGCTGCCTCAGGACCATATTCAAATAGCTTGTCAGCCAGGGTCGTTTTCTCGAGGCCACAGTTGCGCCGCGCATGCCCCCATGAACATATGCCCCAAGCACCAAGGTTGAGGTCTCGCCGCGGGTTTGGTACTTGCTCTTTCCCAACTGAACTTCACGAAGAACTTCTGCACATGACTCCAAATCAAACTTCCCCATGTCATAGAAGTGCTTTGCCCTTTCCTCTTGTCGCTGAACCATCGACCTTAGAGTCCAGCCACCAGGCTTCTTCTTTGACTGTAGTTCATGTTGTTCCCGCACACTCATCATTCGTAGTTGTGGGGGAGAGGACTTTTCACGAAGTCGCCGCGCAGGATCCGGAAGATCCACCACTGGAACCTCTTTAACTCCCATTTCACCCACACCAGCTCCATCGTCCTTCTCAGGCTCGGGCGGTTCCGCCAGCAGCACATGAGGGTCCACAACGTCCAACTTCAGGTTCAAGGTCTCCGTGATAACCCCACTTGGCCGAAGAACTATAGCACCGCCCTTGATGGTATCTGAAAGTCCCAGGTAGGTACCCTCTTCCCAACGATCGGTGAGGTCAAACTTTTTGTTGTTGCCGAACACCTTCCTCCGAATCATCACCTTGGCTCCGAAGTTCAAGAGCTTGGGTCTTTCAATTCCCAGCCGCTCATAGATCCTCCGGTTGGCTGCGTGCTGCATCGCCAAAGTCCAAAACTTCGTTCCCACACCAGCCTCCGCCATCAAGACCTTGGCCATCGTCTTGAACCATCGTACTCCACGTTCAGCAGCACCATTGGTCTGGGGAACTAAAGCTTCCGACCGGGTATGGTAAATGTCTCGGTCCAGCAACCATTTGCGTAGCCCCTTTGAAGCAAACTCTGAGCCTCTATCTGAGTGAAGACGCGCAACAGGGTACCCCAGCAACTTAAGTCGCAGCACCGCTTCCTGCACCGCCAACATGATGTCTCCACCACGCCTCGAGCGCACCGGGTACACCATGTATATCGTGTCCATCTCCACTGGCTTTGTGAGGTCGCCGATCAGCTTTTCCCACGTCTCCTCGTCCTTCTTAAGCTCGTCCTCCTCCTCGGGAATCTCCGCCGTTGATATCCTGAACGTTGTTCTGCCTGTCCACTCACGCTCCAGTGCGCGGGCTCCTGACTTGGTTCCATGCCAGTCCGACGTCTCCGTTTCAACACCGCCGCCTGCATACTGGACCTCGGTCACCCGCGTGTAGTCGAGCCTTCCAGGATGGACTGGGCAACCATTCCATGACGTAGGCCTGAACAACGTAGTTCTAGGGGTAATATGGTGCCGGATCAACACCCCCGCGGTTTCCCGAAACTCCCACCAATCCTCGGAGGACTCCTTTGTTTTTGTCTT